TTTCGAGGCCTTGTTGAAGGAGCACCTTTACCTGTTCTCAGAGAGCAATGGAAAGTCATTTGATATATATGAAGAAAAGGGTCAAACTGCACAAATGTACTTTTTAAAGTCACTCTGTCAACTAAGGAAGAGTCAAAATGTCAAATAAGAAATCCTGGAATGGGAAAGGAAGCAAGAGAGCCCAGAGGCAGCACAGCCAGGCGGAAGAAGGTGGGAATGGCCCAGCCCAGAAGGGAAATTCTGTAGACCTGAGAAGGGGGCCATAGAGGAAAGATGGCAAGGAGGCCCAGAGATAGAGGAATATCTTATGTGGTCTGTCACCTCTTTATTTAGCCACGCCTTTAAAGAACACCTTTGGGGTTGGGAGGATTATTGCTCAGGGCTAGAACACATGCTTAGCATTAGCAAGGCACCAGGTTTGATCCTGAAGACAGAAAAAGAGAGAGAGAGAAGAGAAAAGAAGAGAAGAAAGGAAGGAAGAAAGGAAGGAAGGAAGGAAGGAGGGGAGAGAAAGGACAGATAGATTAAACCCAAACAAAAATACCTTAATTAAAAACTGACTAAGATATAGCAGTAAAGATGGACTCAAGAAGGAATCATCAAAAGATGCTAAATCTGTGGGAGAAACTTTGATGAGGAGCAGGATATTGGATATCTACATTATATTAAAGAATCTCACCCCAAATTGCTAATGAGTAAGTACACAGAAATAGCTGAGAATATTAACTAGGTGACTGCAACAAACAGCTTTGTACAGAGATGGTGGACACGGTGTGTACCCAGGCAGGATCATCTGAACACGCATCGTCCTGCAAGAAGCATCTGGATTGGAATGCATAAGCTCCCTAAAACATTAAGAACACCAATCAAATGCCTGAAAAAGGGAAATGCTTTACCAAGGGGAGGGCTACTACATTAAAAAATATCAGTGCTATAAAGTCACGAAAGACTGAGGAACTCTTAAAGGAAGCTAAAGAGACATGACCTGTTGGTTTCCTTTTGCTGCCATAACAAATAACCACCAACTTGGTGACTTACAATAACACAAATTTGTATTTTACAGCTCTTGTGGTTAGAAAAACACAATATATTTTACTAAACTATGTTTCTTCTGGATGCTGTGAGAATTCTTTGCTTTCCCTTTTCTAGCTTTTCTTGGCCAACTGTTTTCTTTGGTTTATCACCCCTTTCCTCCATCTTTCAAGCCAAGAGAGTAAAATTTTCCAATTCCCCTCTCTAACACTGACACAGCTGCCTGCCTTTTATAAAAGTCCACTTAAACTAGACTGGACCCAGGGTCATGATTTGAGTCTAGATGTCCCTCCACAGCCTCATGTGGTCATAGGTGGCTTTTTCGGAGGTGGCTGAATCTAGAGTGTGTGATGCTGGGATTAAGGGTGTGCGATTACTAAACCAGTACACTGATTGGTTTGGCACCACCCTAATACCATGGTCTAGATAAAATAAAAGGGGCAGAAAGATGTTGTTAAGGTTCCTTTGTTGTTTATGCTACTGTCTGGGCACCATGAACTGTTTTTGCTCTGTGATGCCCCTCAGCCAGGTGCCACTTTGCCTTGGAGTCAGCCCATTGTGACTGAAACCTCTACAAACTGTGAGTTAAACAAACCCTTTCTCCTTTAACTTTGGGTGTTGGGCATTTTGTCTCAGCAATGAGAGAAAAATAACTAACACACCAACCAACTAATCTAGAATAATCTTCTCATCTCAAAATTCTCAGCTGAATTATATCTGTAAAGTCTCCTTTGCTATACAAGGTGACATATTCACTGGACAAGGCAGCTCTGGGGAAGCACTGTTCGCATAATATCAAAATGGAATTTATGAGCCTAGATTAGATCTTGTACCAAAGGAAACAAATGTAAATATTTTTAGAAATCAAAATATAGGCAACAGATTAAAGTATCAGAATTATTGCTAAATAATTTACTAATGTTGCAAATAGAGGGTAGTTAAGTAAGAGAATTATTCTTCATTTATGAAATAAGGAAGTATTTAGAGGTAAACGGCCAAGATGTATACAACTAATCAAGGAATTCATAAAAAAAATAAAACAACACATATTCACATGTCGAAAGAAAGCAATTGGTAAAGTAAATGAGGCAGAATGTTAAAACAGATGAATTTAGATTAAAAATACATGATGTCCTTTGAATAGTCTCACGACATTTCTGTAAATTTAAAATTATTTGCCAATAAAAAGTTAAAGAAAACTGTGTGTATAATTTACTTAATGAAGAGTTTTTAAAAACTACAACAAGAAACTCATAGTTTATGTTACAAACATTAGAACGAATGAATGCAGCAACTTAATTTTTGTTTTTTCTACAATAACATTACCGGTAAATGAAAAGGACCAGAAATGTCTAGGTATTTTTCAGGTTACAAAGTTAAGGAAATCTTAGCCAGATGTCAATATTATAGTTCTGAAGATTTTAAAATAGAATTGGTGATTATCCCTGGATTTAAATACTGACTGGTTGATCCCAACCTGTTATTTGTGAGAGAGAATCTGCTCGGTCATTTTCTGAGAAGGCCCTTAGGAAAGCAGACTCCCTCTTTCAGGAGTACTTAACTGATTTCACTTCCCTTAACTGATTTTTAAAACAAAAGAAAAAAAAACAAAACTGTATTCTAGTCCAGAGCTTTCTTTTGTCAGGTGCCTCAGGCAAAAATTTTATTGCTTTGGCCCTAGGGAATCTTTCTGGCACCCACTTTCACTCCACCCTCCAGTGCTGAAAGGCAAACAATAAGACAGCTGGGATTGGACCTTGGACAAATAATCACAGCCTTCTCCACTGGGAAACTCCTCTGGTTTGGGCAGAGATTAACATTTTCAAATGATGGTAAAACAGGGTGAGACCCCAGTTTCTGCCCAAAGCCCTATGCTCGGGCTTGTTTTTCTTGCCAACTATGTTGGCCAAGAACAGTATTTCTCCACAGTGATTCAAGGACAGCATGCCAAAATCAAATAATAGCGACTTTTCTCAATTATAGAAACACACACAAAATAGGTGGCAAAAAAAAAAAAATTGGCTTGATTTTTACAAGTCTGGCTTTTGCTTTCACCAGCCAATACTGAAATCAATGTTCTAGCCACATCTATGAGGATACCGGCATTAAAAAAAAAATCTATTTGGTTATTTACAGCTTAACACTTGTTTTGCAAAGAGCAGCAGGATTTCTTTGAGTACCTTTGGCAACCACCATCCTAAAGGCTGCTGTAGTCAGGAGCAAGACTGGGTCTTTATTACCTCAAAGGTTCCCTCGCAGCACTTCCTTGGCATTGTAATTATTCAGGTCTGTATTTTCTGCAACTCAGGGTGGAGAGTCAGATAGCCTGGGGGGTTCTTTTTTAAGACTGTCACTTTCTCGTTGTATAACTTTGGGCAAAATATTTCTGGGCTGTAAACCCCATGGTGTCATTTGTAAGACAGAAATAACAGTAGCTATTCTACCTACTTTGCAAAGTTTTTCTGATCATCCAAGGGAAAAATGTGAAACTGTCTTGCAAATGGGGATGTGTTATGAAAAAGCCAAGTGATTTCCTCCTCATTATTACTAAAGTTTTTAAACATACAAGGCCATTGCCTAATTGATATGCGTGTTTCTTAAATTGTCTAGCAAAGGACTGGCTCATAGTTTTCTTAACCAAAAATTTGCTGAACTGAGTGATCAAATGACTGGATTAATTAACTTTCAGGCTGCTATAATTTTTTATCTCTATTTCCAAGGAGCTATCCCTACCCCAAGACTTTGACCCCAAGCCTGGTTCAACATGAAGATACATGTTCTAAGGATTTCTCAAGAACTTGAAACAGCTCTTGCTAAAATGCTTATTAATTAAAAGAAACAAAGCCATCCATGGGCAGTCTCTTGAAATGAAAGCCATGTAGTCTTTGAAAAACATTTTGAAGCACATAGTGATGCGCTTACAATGATTTTAATTTTGATTGGCTGATCCAAAAAAACTATTCGGAACAACTTGCATAAAGTCAATACGTAGTAAATATTTGGAAACTTGTGGAATGATGAGAGTTACAGAGAGGGGCCTGAGTGGTTTTAAATTTACTCCAGGATTACAACAGCTACAATGATTCAACATGAAATAGCATATTAAACGCATTGTTGAAAAATATAAACAAGCTGCAAAATGCTATTTACTGTAGAACAGCATTAACATTACATTTCAAAATAGGCAAAATGCTTGGTATCTTATGTATGGATGAACACATTAAATTCAAAGTATGCAGAGTTACTATGCATCTTTTCTCCCTTACACAACTCCAGAGCATACTGCCCTCCGCTCAGTACCTGAAAACATGTGCTGAAATGAACAATTCTAGCTCACGAAAATTTCTACTACTCAGAAACAAAGTGAGGAGTAATGGAAACAGGGAGGAACACACACAAGGCTTTAGTTACAATGTTTACTTCTTAGGGGATATATTTGAAGCAAATATTACAAAATGGGGTAAGGTTTGATAAAGCTCTCTGATAGGTATACACATATTACATTATTCTTTATGCTTGAGATAGCTCTTCATGTATGAAATGACACTACAATATTCAATAAAAAATAGTTTCAATTCCTGGTTTCAGTAATAGAGTATTATAATTGTGACCACATATTTTTATTGTAAGTTTCCAAGAATCTATTGCACTACTAATAAGCTCTTAAATAAAATATTTTGTGTTCGCAAATTAAATAGAAATGAGAGACATATAAAAACCTTTTGAGGGATATTCAGGGAAAAAAGAAGAGAATTTTACAGCTTTAGGAGCTGTCTAAGACCCAAGTCCTGAAATGCTCACAGATAAAGTTTAACAGATGTCTGAGAAAAAACATTGCAAGTCAAATTCCAAGTCACTTTATTCTAATCAGCAAAGTCCTAAATGGCAGATAATTTCCTATCTCGCTATAAATGATCCCTTCTCTTCTGTCAGGTACCAAAACGAAATGTAGCATGTAGTTTACATACCAAAACATCCATCCCGGTGACATAGTTGAGGGTTATCAGGTAATCTTTTGGAAGATTTGCTACCTAAGGAGATGAAAAAAAAATTCTTTGAAAAGCTTCATACATATCAATTAGCACCGATTAGTATATTGTTCCCTCTCCATTTCTTCATTTCCCTTGTAGGCAAATGCACCTTCCAAAACAAGGTAAGTGATAATACGAAGCTTACAGGTTCCAAATTTAGTTACGTGTGCCTAAGTCTATAATCTACTGAGTTTGAGAAACTTGATATAAACTTCAATATCGAATCTCCAGTCCTGGAATTCCCCTCTAGGTCTATTTTCCAACTTGTCCTTCCATATAATCAGTAATCAAATATGCTTTTCTTGTCAGTGACCTTGAAGTGAGGTGTCAGCATTGGCGGAGAAACTTCTAGAAATGCTATTCTCTGGCTATACCAGACCTACTAAATCTTACTTAACAAGTCCTCCAGGGATCTGATACAACCTCAAACTGCAGAACTATTGTTCTACACTTATCCTAAAAAAAAAAAAAAAGTCACTGGAACTTCAAAGACTAATGTTACTTACACAACACAAATGGTTTATAAATTGAATAATTTAGAAAAGTTGAGTTTTGTGATATAACTTAATCCACTTACCTTGGGGAAAACTATTAAGATGTCTCAAATGTTTGCCTACTTTCTTTAAAAGCCTTTAAAAAATCTCTGACTTTATTTACATCAGCCATTCTGGCGTAAGAGAATAAGCAATAGATTTGGAACCAGGGACTTTGGAACCAACTAAACTCTTTGTAACTTGCTTTTCCTCATTTGTAAAATGGAGATTCAGTAACCTATGTCAAATGATAATTTAATAGTTAAGTGAATGTGCCAAATACATTGTAAATATCCAATCCTTATTCTTTATTGAGACCTAGACAGGAAAATGATTTTGAAGGCTGTTATGGTTTATACTTAGATGTGGGGCTTTTGAAAGGTGCTTGGATTGTGAGGGCGTTATAGCCTATTTGCTTTTGGGGTGGAACCTGCTAAGAAGAGACAGGCCAACTGGGGATATGACCTGGTAGGGTTTATTTCCCTCCCTGACTCCTCCCTTCCCCTCTCTGCTTCCTGGATGACAGAAGGTGAGCACCTCTCCTCCACCATGCCCCTCTGCCATGATGTTTCTTCTTTGGAGCCAGCCAACCATGGACTGAAATGTGTACCATAATAAACCTTTCCTCCTTTAAGTTGTGGGTGTTGGACACATTACCCCTGAATCCTGCCTGTCTGTAAAAACTTCATTTTCCCTGCAGAAAGTGTACATCATATACATGTTTGCAAAACTAGATCATGTCCTACAAGCCTCCCATAGCATAGTCTGTATGCTCCTTCTTGTTTTTTCCAGTACCGCCTAGAATATGAGAAAAACTTGCTGAGCAAAGAATCCAGGCAAAGGCTAGTATTCAGAAGGGAGCCAAAGTAGTAACTGGTTCCCCTATCTTCCTACCATCCTACTTCCAGTGGTGGCAACCTCTCACTTGCCTGAGCTTTGAGCTGCCGGTTGGTCTAGCCGCTCTTTCTTCAGTTCACATGAAGAAACAAAAATAGTAAGTGTCTGACACATGTTAAATCCTTACTATGCACCAGGCCTTGTGTTCTTTAAGGGTGTAAGTTGCATATCACAACCAATCCTTAGATCCCTCTGATACAGTATCTCACAGGTGAAAAAAATCGGGCTTCAAGGAGGTCAACTAATATGACTAAGGTCACATGGCCGGCAGTGTTAAATCTGGCTAAGAATCCAGATTCCACTGACAGCAGAGCCTTCACTGCCTCAGGGCTTCTGCTGCACATTTTCAGCTTGTCCAGACACTTGTCCTGAGTATTTCCCACCTGTGAGCCCATAGCATTACCCTTCATGCCATCCCCAGTGAAACGGTAGCGTTCTCCCTGCCTCCCGGAAACACATCTGGGTGGCTACAGAAGGTGGTATTTTCCGTTTTCATTTATTTCAGGTATTTTCAACTGTCTTGCTCTTTACACTCGACTTCTTCCTCTCAGTCAAACTTCCCACCCTGCCTCTCCAATTTCTTTTGTCTTCTTAATATTCCTCTCTATCTTTGAAAAGCAAAATGACCAAGTCACCTTTCACAAGCCTTAGTGGCAAAGACATAATCAGATACCTTGGCAGGCGTGAAAGCTAGAAGAGGACACTGAGCAGCTACATTCTGCTTCATTGTGACCCAGCCACACAGACTACAGCCGCCACACACGGGAAAATGCCGCAGGAAGCGCCAGGGTTACTGAGCGCAAGCTGCTTAACAATCTAGCCCTTTCTTGAGCATAATTCACATTTCTTTAAAAATACAGATGTACCCCCCCAAAAAAATACAGATGTAGATTCAGTTGAATTACTATTCATAAAACTTAGGATCTGAGATCTAAAGAACAGAGAAGAACGTCAGGGCTATGCTGGCTAATTCCATTTTATGAAGAATTTATATATAAAAATCAAAATTAGGTCAAATAAGCAAAGACAGCTTACAAGTTCTTTGACTGCAACTATCATTATGGGGCGGGGTGCTTCTTTCCACCTTCAGCTGATTTACTGATACTTACTTTGTAGTAGTACTGAAAGATAATACTATTTTTTAAAAATGCTTGACAACCTGCAGTAAGTTTTTATATACGGTCTCTATCACAACCCCATGAGGCCTATCTTATTGAGCCTATTTACAAATAAGGGCAGGGAAGTTCAGAGAAGTTGAATGCATTTCCAAGGCCACAGGCACCAGGAGTACAATGCAATGGTACAACGCAAAGCCTGGCTCTATGTGCTGGTGCTCTGTCTACCTAACTAGAGAGCAATCTTTTCTTTACTGCCATTACATTTGGAAGAGAACTTAGGCTAAGTCACTTCATGAATTATTATACTACTTTCTAAGCACTTACAGTATGTTGAATAGCATTCAGAAAACACACATAACCTTACCATAAATTCAGCTTCTCTGATGCATATTGATCACTGTGGGAAGTTTTACAGAGCAGAGGAACTATTTGGCCTATAACACAGATGTTCCTGAGAGGCCCCGAGTTTGATGCTTGGGCCAACAGAACAGCTTCTGGAGACAAAACTGCTTAAATTGAATGGATCCTGGCCTTGCTACCTGCGAAATTAGAGTCTCGGGGAAATCACTTCATCTGCATTTCCACATGTGTAAAAGAAGAATCATAATGATACCTAGCTAATGGATTTACAAAGATTAAATAACTCGTGTGAAATGTTAAGTGTCTGGGCATGGTGTGTGAATGTGTGTGAGTTTCTATGAATATTAAATGTTGCGGAGGAGTGGGGCATTCTAAATAGAGAAAGTCACAGCCAAAGGCCAAGAACTGAAAGCTCATGGTGTATTCGGGGACCAAATGGATAAGATGTGAGAAATATGTCAGGAAAGCTGCATTAGCGAGGGGCTTCTGGAACGCTGGACTAAGAAGTTCATTAGTGGGAGGCAGCAAGGTTCACTACGAACAGTTCTACCACCAGAAACCTAGAGCAAGTCACTTGGTCTTAGGCAAATTCCAGCATCCCTGGAGACCTACTCCTTGTCTGTAAAATAAAAATGGTGAAGCAGATAATTACTCTGATTTCTCCTAAGGGCACTGGTGCAACTCTGAATGTGGCAAGCAGGGAAGGACATGATGAGATTGAAAACTGTGACAGTGAATTTGAAAAGATTAGTTTGGGATGATGGATTGGAATAGGGAGAGAACGGAGATGGGCACTCTGAAAGTCCTGAATATGTGTTAAATATTTATACAGATACTAGAAGTCTCTAGAAAAGCAGGAGCCTGGTCTAGATTCCAGGGAGGTATGCTGTCGGTAAAGTTAAATGGCTAAGTAATCAGGGCTACCTATTTTGAAAACAAATCTGTTCTTTTAAAGTAAGTTCAGGACAAAATGTAGAATTTAATTGACGGGAAATTTTACCAAAGGCCAAATCAGTCCAAGGGGCTCTGCTATGAAGAGCAAGGGTGCCAGTATTTGTAAAATGTCTACAACTGCAAAGCAAGTGACTTAGTGACAGAGTAACTAACTGAAAGGTCACCACTACTTGGTTCTTTGGGTGTTCTGAGGACCGACCATACTCAGTGACCCTGGATAAAACTGCATAGGAGAACAGCATTCAGAAATGCTGGAAACTCAGCCAAGCAAAAGGCTTTGCAAGCCAAACAAGCAGTGGCTGCATACCATTCCCTGGAGGTATTTGGACTCAGGAGAAAGAACTCAACATCGGAACACTTAACTCCCTCTCTAAGTCACCAAACTAAAATGTTTGGGTCTTGTGATTCGAATGTCCTTAAGGTCCCTAAATCTCATGAAATCAGTGGTTGCTTGGACACTGTGGGAGATCTTTACTACCCCAATCCCCTCTCTCACATCCAAGGGGAGAAACAAAATGCAGTAGCAAGATCCCCTTGACACCACTTAGGAAATGCATTGCACATCTGGGCCTTTCTGGGAGAAGAGTCCATGGATTTCCATCTCTCAGCCTCAGCAAAGTTTAAAAATCATGGCTGCTGAGGGGAAAAACTTAATACTTCAAGTAAATACTATAGTTCATGCCTGTACACCAGCTTACTCGAATGTTGGCTGTTCAGCCTTCAGAAAGAAGTAATACAGGAGGCTGAGCAAGGTGACACACACCTGTAAATCTCAGCACCTGGGAGGCTGAAGCAGGAGGATTGCCAGGAGTCCAGCCTGGAGTTCACAGCCAGCCTGAACTACACAGACCCTGTCTCAAAACAAAAGAAATAGAGTTGGGGATTTAGCTCAGTGGCACTGTGCTTGCCATGCAAGCGCAAGGTCTTAAGTTTGATCTCCACTACGAGAGAAAGAAAGAAAAAAAGAAAGGAAGGAAGGAAGGAAGGAGAGGGAGAAAACAGGAAATGGTTTTCTGTTTCTTTTGATAAATTATCTCCCAGTAATACTGATTTTTAAAAAATCTAATTAACTAGGTCAATTGAATGCCTTTAGTTTTCAAAAGTACCTGGGTACTTTTAAAAAATAATTCATGATTCA